ATAAGCTCATTTAAAGTGACAATCAGCACTCCTGTTAGGATCTGTGTTCAGCATTTGCAAACTGGAGCGGATTGGTACTTTAAATGCTTAAACAAAGCATGCTGAAAGCTCTGCAAATACTTTCTAAAAGCTTGCTGAAGGCAAGATGATTAAAAAAAAGCCAACTAGTGCAGGTGCCTCATCTAATGACTGTTAAGCTGTAATTTATTACATTTTTGTTTTAATGTTTAGATATGCTTTAAAGTAATTGTTTAACAAAAATAAAAAAAAGGACACAAACAGGTTTATACTTGCCTGCTCTGTGCAATGAAATTGGACACAACGGCACTGAACCTCTTCTTCTCAGGTCCGCTGTTGGAGCTCCTGGCTCCTCTTCTCAGTGTGCCGCCATAGGAATGTAGAAAATCTTAGCACCACTCATAAGCCCTATAGTCTAAATAGTTACGTCACTGGCATAGCAGGGGAGCGGAGTCCACATTCAGATCCAGATTTTGTTGGAAAGAGAAAAGGGCACCGCTCAAGCCTCCCGTATGTGAAGGATGGCCTCAACTGTCACGATGGCCACACACTCTGCAGCGTTTCGCCCCATCAACCAGGGCTTGATCAGAGAAAATGAATCCACTGATCAAGCCTCAGAAGGCGGGGCGAAACGTGGCAGAGGGTGTGGGCGGCGTGACAGCTGAGGCCATCCTTCACATACGGGAGACTTGAGTGGTGCCTTTTTCTCTCTCTCCTGCCACCATAGGAAGCTGCATCCTATCGTGACACACCTGCGGGCTCAATCCTAAGCTGCACTTCCTACATCTATAGATACAGGCAACACTGCTCACCCCCACCTCCCTGTCACATGATTTGACTGACAGCAGCGAGAGCCATTGGCTGCGGCTGTTTCAGCAAAGCCTGTGAGACCAGGAAGTAAGAGGAAGAGAGCCGCTGCAGACAGCCACAGCACTGGTTCGAGTGAGGACTCAGGTAAGTATAAGTAATGTGTTTAAAGAGCAGTTTAGGGGTGTTATTTTTATTTTTTTAATTATACTTACCCAGGTGGATGCAGCATCGATCCGATGTTGCATCTGTCCCCTGCTGGCTCTAAGGGTGAGAACTGAGCGATCAGACACTGCTGATCGCTCAGTTCTCCCTGCCACACTGAGCAGAGAGTGATAACCGATGACTGCTCCTCCCCCCTGCAGTCACTGAAGCACTGGGCGGTGGAGGGGGCAGGAGTGGCTAGCTCAGTCTCTTAGCAGATTGCTGAGAAGCTGAGCCCTGTGCCAGTCCAGGCTCCTGGGTGGATGCTGACCATATGGGCGGGATCTTTCTTCAGCCTGGACTAGTTGAGTGATGACAGCCAGCAGCAAACGTTAGAACGCTGTCGGCTGAGAATGGGTCATAGGAGTGAAGAACAAACTGCACTTCTGTGATCCACGGGAGAAGTACAGCTAAATGAGCTTTGGCTGTACTTCTTTAAAAAAAAAAAAAAAAAAAAAAAAAAACTTGTCGGCACTACAATGTGCATGCACAAAAATAGTACTGTTAACGTGGGTACTTTTTAGGCCACATCAAACAAATCGTGTGACATATAGTTCAATACATACAAGAGAATTTCCTGACCAGCCAAGATATTAAGTTCCTTAAGTCAGTCAAAAAGTCTAGGCATTCTGCATTTAGATTAAGGAAATACATACACACTTTTACGCTTCCAAAATACACATTGGCAATAGACAAGAAAGGTATCCATACTTGCACTAGCTTGCTTTCATCATGATTATCTGTGCAAGTCACTTTTCATTCACTAGGGTAAGCTGCTTTTTACAGTCCACTTAAAAACCACCCTTGACTTGAACTCAGATTTACAGTAGCAGCTGTGAGCGCTGACAGTTCACACTGGGTCAGAAGTATTATAGTCTCCAGATCCCTGAAGCTCTTGCAGAATCTATAGCTGCTGCTATAGCTCTGCACAATCAGTTACAAATGTAAAATCTTCCATATCTAGGTTTGAATTGTAATGGGGCAGGATTGTGCTTACATAAAAGACAATTCTGTTAAGATTATTTGGTCTTGATATGTAAAAACAGGAAAAAATGGAAAAAATGATTTAAAGATTTCAACTCTCATTCACAAGGGCCAGCTTAAAAAAAAAAAAAAGATCCAGATGCAGTGCTTATATTGTTATAGTAAAAGGCAGCTAAGAGTTGAAGAAATCAAAGTAAAGAACTAGTTAAGAAATCTCTCCATAAATGACAAATTAACAGGTTACTAACAAAAAAATTGTGATCTCACAGAGTGGGATACAGTTAGAGGGGTACCACCAAGAGGGGTGTGTCCTACCACCTGACGGTAGCAGCCTATAATCATAAATTATGAATATCCAAAGCCCGTATCCTGCTATGGGGCATTTGTGTGTGCTCACTCCCGAGCCCTGCTCTGTGTGTCCATAAAATGCAAAAAGCGGAGACCGGCCATGCCACTAACTCTGACTGGCAGCAGCGGGAGCCAATAAGGAGAGAGAGAGCCAAGAGAGACTCCGCTCTCATGCACATCACTGGATCTAGATGAGACTCAGATATGTATTTAGGGGGCTGTGGGGGAAGCTGAATGCAGGTGGTTTGTTTTATCTTGCTGCATAGAATGCAGTAAGGTAAACACCTTCTGCCTTTACAATCACTTTAAAATATGGGTATAGTAAATTTAAATATTGCTTTTGCTGTATTTTGCAGTTTTACTAAAGCCACATTCCTATTGAGTTTTGATCTTGAGTGGAGAGGTGCTGTAGTTTACATGATTAGGTTTCTAACACATTAACGCTGTGTTCTTTGGATTCTGATCAGAAGGTCTCTGCCAAAATCACAACATGGCTCCAAACCATCTGCTGCCACTCTGAGGTGCCTGAGCCCTGAACATTCAAGACATCCCATAATGCGTACTGCAATCTCATCCTGAGACCAGAGGACAATTAGATAAAGCCACAAGCAAGCATTCCAGAAATAGTAATGGTAAGACCTTTTCACTGAGTAATCTGGATGTATAAAAATAAATCTAAAGATGTGAGAGAGAATTTTTGGCAAACATTGTCAGCTAATAAATAAAAAGGTGCGTTTGCACAAAGAACCATTGATTTAACAATGCAATCTTACTATTTTTACTTATCTAAAGCAAATAGATTTCAAAATTCAGAAAACATGGCTAAATGCTGCACTATAAAAAAAAGTTGCTGCAAAAGCATGGTCATTTCAATGATCTTTCCAAAGGCATAAAGCCACAGACAGCCTTATGCAGGCCCTAGACAGTTTGAAAAATCAGCCAATTTTTCAGCCGAAAGAATAATCGGCCGATTTTCGCACTGTTAGTGGGGCAATGGAATCGGCCGATTTTCGTAGTTCCTCCTCATTTTAGCGGTCATGCTGGAAAATTCATGAAAAATTACCGATTTTCGAAATCATTGGTGGCAACATTGGAATTCAGAACAAACGATGTTTCATTTTACGGATGAAAAATCGGCCGATTTTCGAACAGTCTATGGCCTGCATTAAGAAAAGGTTTCTGGTTTTTCATTTAAGCACAGCTGACGAGCAGGAGGCCAACACACTCATGTCACTTACTGTTTAGCAAATCTGATAGGACTGAATGCCAAGCAGTTCTGACAAACTTCACCACTTTCAGGTAGTGCCGGAACTTGCCCGGTCCTGTCCGTTGCCTACACTGACTAATATTGGTCTGCCCCAGTGGTAAATATTTGAATTTTTGGCTCACCGGTAAAGTCCTTTTCTTTGAGTACATTACAGGACACATGGTTTTTCCACCTCCTTTATGCTGCAACCTTCAGGTGATTGGAAACTGGCAAAAAGACAAGAAAACCCCTCCTAGACATAACCCCTCCCAAATAAACATGGCTTTGGTATTTGTAGCAAGCCATGAACCACAAAGGATAGCTGAGAGTACACATTGATTTTTTTTCAGCCAGGAGGTTGAATGAAAGAAAAAAAAATGACAGATCACCAAACAAATACAAGTGTCATTGGTGTGGTGATCTCCCGAGCTGTTCTATAGAATTCTGACTGAATTTAGCTGAAGATGAGTGGGGTCCCTATGTCATGAGATGTACTCCAAGAAAAGGATCTTACAGGTAAACAAAAACAATCCCATTTTCTTTATCATACATCCCAGTACACAGGGTATCCTCATCACCATTACAATAGGGATGTCCCAAAATACTGAAAATGGGAGAGGGCAACATAGCAACAAGCCAACACCGTTCTGGTATCCAAGCTGCTGTGAACTACATAAAATGCAGATGAAAGAAAACTATAATACAGATCGATGCTGCATCCAACTAGTCCAGAGTACAATTTATTTTTGTAATCCTATGCTTCTCTTAATGGGGGTACCCCCAGGGGGCAGGCCTTCGACACCCTGGGCTCACAAGAAGTGGGATAAATATGATGAAAAAAAAATGCCAAAAAAGGAGAGTATTGCAGCTCTCCGGAGCTGATTTATTAATTGTACTCATTTTTCCATTTTTCTCTAACTAGAGACCACTTTACATTTATTACACATTACAGCACATTAAAAGATAGTGAAGGGGTGTATTCATGGCCAGAAAATGTGGTACAAAAGGTCCAACCACTGTAGTCAGATATTTCCAGTTTTGCTCAGGCTAATTCTGGGCGTGCAGTTTATCTACACAGAAGGTGACTAGAATGGCCAAAGCGCACTTCTCATGAGTTGGTGGAGTTACTAGATCAGAGTGGTCTTGCGGGGGGAGGGGGGGGGGATATCACTTCAACTCACAAAAACACCCTCTCTGTATGCAGGTAAACTCCATTTAACAAATGCAATTACTTCCATACTGCACTGCGAATATAGGGAAACACTAGGATCCCATTAGTAAACTAAGGTACATGAACGGTGGATTAACTCTGTATGTCATCCAATTGTTAATGAATTTTTGAAATGGGAAAAATGTTAATGTGTTAAAAGAAATATATGCAAGCAGCACATACCTTTATCTGCATTGCCATTGATTTTAGGTATGAAGTCATCAACTTGAATGCCTGTGATCACAAAAGTTGATTAATTTCCATCAAGTCAAGCAATACACATTTTTTAAGCATATCACAAGCAATATTCCTGGTGTAAGAGAATCAAACTTAATGCATTACAACAGTGCCATCTGCTGAAACTGATTATGTACTACACTTTTTTTTCCCAGCGATAAAAATAGTTTCTTTAGTCTCCTGAATGTATAATGTAGTTCAAAGACACTTAAGAGAACTGGGGAGGAGAGGGGGAGTTAACAGTAATTTCAATATAAACTATTTGTACCTTCAACCTCTGGGGAAGGGGAAAAAAAAAAAAAAAAAGGTACCGGTAGTATAAAGCTTCATGTACATGAGCCTACCCTGACCACAGTAAAACTCAATTGCGGTAAAAGCAGTACATCGTTTGCGGCACAATTTTTCATTCTCTCCCGCGGTCAGAACGTTCCCATCCTGAATGCGATTCTTCCACGTTCAGGAGAGGGAGGTTTAACCTCACCTAAACGTGGCAGCTCCTAAACACTGCTAAAAGCCTATGTGTACATGGAAACACAGTCTTTTGAGGAGTTGAGTTTAGGAGCATTGGCAAAAAAAAATGCCAAAAGCTTAAAAACTCGAGTTTAGGAGCGGCTCATGTACATGAAGCCTAATAGGGCAAGTTTTCAGAAAAAAAAAAAAAAATCCTGTAGGATCAGGACTGTATGTACAGTACACTATGTAGTACAACGTTTGTGGACACCTGGTCTTCACACCAATATCAGCTTGTTGGTCAACACATTGCAAAACCATCGACATTTATATACAGTTGCCCCAACCACTTTACAGCCTTCACAAATTTTGGAGCATGTTTGGAAATCTGCGCCCATTCAGCATTAAGCACATTTGTGATATCACTTACTAATGCAGGATGTGAAGATCTGGCTTGCAATCACCATTCAACAGAGTTAAGGATAGGATCTGTGCAGGCCACTACTTCCTTCACAACAAGCCAGGTCTTTTTCATGCTGGTTCTGTGCACAAGGGCACGGTTGTGTTGGAACAGAAAAAGGTTCTTCCCCAAACTGTTGCCATAAGGTTTAAAGTGTTTCATTTGTTTAAAGCGGAGCTGCACCTGAAAAGGGAAGTTACACTTTAAGGGCTTGTCCCTCACTCCCTGTTAAGGATTGGCACCTTTGGGGAGCAGGTACCAGATTCTGACAGGTACCCACTCCCACTTCCACTCCAAACGCATAGACATTCAAAAGCAGAAGTTCTCCCGGCTGGGAAGCCACAAGCTGTGCCCATACTGAAGATGCTGGCGCAGTGGACAGAGGATGGACAGTAAGCTCGCCTGCGGTGAGCACACCACTGGACCGAGGGACAGGTGAGTGGCTGTTTTCTTAAAAAAGTCAACTACAGTATTTGTAGGTGCAGACTTATTTTTTTTAAGGGAGACTGGCACACCGCTTTAAAATGTCTTACTAAGCTATCACCTTAATAGTATCCTTCACTGGAACCTCAACTCAAACATTCAATTCAGAGGGGTGTCCACAAACTTTTTACCATATTGTCTATTTCAGAGCATTTTTCAGAGGCAGGGACTAGTGCACAAGTCATAGTTAATCTGTCATGTCTTCATAGCAAAAAGTTACAGAAAAATCTGTCAGTAAAATTAGATTGCAGACTATTTTGCCTTTTTTTAAAGTAGAATTTAAGGCAAAGCTTTTTTTGTTTTTGATGGGGTGGAGAGGGATTAGAACATCTGTCAGGCTTTTACTGCTGTCTGTGCCCTGTTAAGGAGATCCACCCTCTCCATTTGTCCTCTTTACCATTAGCATTGAAAGTGAAGCAAAAGAAAATACAAAAGTTTGGGTTATCCACAGAAAAGTAATAAAAGGGAAATCTTACAATGGAGACACTAGTTCTGGTGACCTGAAGGTCCCCAGGGATTCCATTAATTTGCAGGGATTTCTTCTCCCTTCCTGTCTGGGACAGGAAGTGAGGGTAAATCTCCAAAATGGGACTGAGAAAGAGAAAAAAAAAAAAAGAAGAAGAAATCTGACAAAGGGTTATAACCCTCTCTTGCTCTAGCCAATATGAACTAAAAAAAAAAAAAAAAGTTTTGCTATAGCTTCTACTCTACATGAAATAAGGATAGAATTTGCCCAAAACCATTTTATCTGCCTCAAAATAAAATTAAAAAAAAAAAAAAAAAAAAGGAAATATCAGCTTCGATATAGCAACATAAGCTACACTCCTCCCATACTATGCAAAGGGCACTTCCAAGTTTAACAATTAGGCCTCATGGATGCTGAACATTTTTCTAGCTCGCCTAGATATCCCTCCTCCAAAGAGGGGCATTATGGCAGAAAAACCGCTTGGTGCTTGTAAAAGTGTGTAACACGTTATCCACGTCAAGTGTTTGTGTCCCTGATTTTGATAGGTACCGTTCCCACATCTGGTTCAGTTCACCATGGTGAACTGAGCCAGAAGTTTGGCCCCCCTCCTTTCCCCTTAAGTCTTCTGGGACACTTCGCAGGTCCTAGAAGACTATGGAACCAATCACAAGGCACAGCACAACTTGCACATGCGCAGTAGGAAACTGTCCATGAAGCCGCAAGGCTTCACTTCCGGTTTTCCTTACTAGTAATGCCAGGGGAAGAACAAGCCCAGGTGACAACGGTATTGGGACAGGTAAGTGTGCTTATCAAGTGAGCATTTACAGTATTTGTAGCTGCTGACTTTATTTTGGGGATCCTCTTTATTTCACTGGCCAAACTAATAATTAATTCAGGCCATTGAAATTAACGCTCAAGAACTAAACGCACCTAGAATTAATGAGCGTTTAGACTTATCAAACATTTTTTCAGCCAAAGCGCCATTGCTCCTGGATGCACTGGCAGTGGGTTTTTTCCTGCCTTTAAACTCCTCTAAAAGCCTATGTGTACATATGGACACACAGGCCAACATGCAGGGGAGGAAAAAAAAAATAATGAACTCAAGACGCCCCTAGGAGCAGCTGCAAACATCATCCAGTGTGCACGAGGCCTTACAGCAAATGTGTGAACACAGCAAAAGGACTGATTGATGAGAACTCGAAAACTGAAAAGGAAAGACACTGCCTACAGCAAGTAGATTCCAGGTTTCAGTAGGTGAGAGAATTAAATAAGGAATCTGGCACCACATATTTTCTTACATTCCATAAATCAGTCCCAGCAGGTCTGTAAGCAAAAGAACCATTTTAAAAGTATACAAGCACAACCTATCGCCTCCTGTTATAGAACAGCTGCAAAAAATAAGGCCATAGCAAGACATCACAAACTCATCAATCTTCACATCAATGTGTAAACATGGAAAAAAAAAAATCCAGTCTCAGTTTTCCAGATGTTTTCAGGAAACAGTGTCCTCACTTAACCCAACATCTTCATTCAAGTAAATGAGTGTAGATGTGCATGCAACACGGTTTTTGTTCTATGTTGCTACAAAGATTAAAAAATTTGGGTCGAAAGTACAGCAACCCCTAGTAACTTGATTTGCTGCATTCAGAAAAAGAGAGAGAAAAAAAACAAAAAAAACAATAACCAAGTATCCGATGAGCTAGGTGTACTTTAGATTGTTTACTTCGCACAATTTAAAAAGCACAGGGCTTGTAAAGAGACATCACAATAGGTTGTGGTTTTAATGGGTCACAAACCTTCTTTGCTTTCAGGTGAAATGTGCCACTTTATTAGAGTGTGATCTCACTGGAGTTAAGGCGAAGCCCAGTCCTATGCTATGCTCCTGTCCAATAGAAGGTTTACTTGTGGAAAACAAGGGCGATCTTAAAGCAGAAGATATCAATACTCAAGCCTTTACAATTGTCCCTCGTCATGTTCTCCTGCATGCCGGTTTTCAGCAGTCTTCAATGGTCAGCGTGGCATGCACAGGAGCTAGTCATTCCAGCACATATGGATTGGACCAGCTGCTGCAAGCTGAGCAGCGCACATACAGCACAGTTTACAAGACGGTAATTAATGTGAGCAAGAAGGTAAGTGTATTTTACTGCAGAAATAACACTGCATGTCTCTTCTACAAACAACCCTGCCTGCTCACAGTATGTAACAGGAGAACTTTAGTTCCACTTTAATAGACAGAATTTACAAGGTAGTCTGTAAAGTCAAGCCCTCAGTAACAAAATATCATCAGTTTCCTGAAGAGCACACAAAAAAATGCTCCAATAAAAGTAATAGCAGTCATCTCGTGGTGCCTGGTGTTAGAGCTCGTGCACAGCAAACAGAAGGGCAGATGTACCCTGACCTAAAGATTTTTTTATTTTTTTTTTTTTTTTTTTTTAATGGTTATGCTGCTAGAATTAGTAAATGGATAGGAAATTACATTATATTTACATGTTTTAAGCTTTTTTTTTTTTCCTTCTTTTACATATTTCTTCAGCTACTTCCGGGTTACCATGCCTAGGCAAATGATGTCATACATCTTAGGAGTCTTCAGAAGGGGCAGAAGAGTTTATTTAGCTAAACACACCTTCCTGCCTGCATGGCTAAGCTAAGGGAAGATGGATTCCAGGAAGGAAATGCTACCGCTCTTATTCAAAATGGCCACAGCCAGAAGTGCTAGGGCAGTGATGGCGAACCCGTGGCACGCGTGCCACAGCCGGCACGCCGAGCCTTATCTGTGGGCACGCCAGGAGAATCCAGCGGCGCACTGTCTTCCCGGCTGTAGTGTGCGTGACAGCCGGGTCCCAAGTGCGCATGCACAAGAAGCAGTGCTCTTTGTGAATGGTAAGGCGGTACCTGGGACACATGACAGATCCCAGAAGCCGCCGGACCAATCACAAAGCGCAGCGCTTCTCGCGCATGCGCACTGGGCATCCGGCTGTCCGACGAGCGCCCACACTACAGAAGCCGGGAAGACAGCGCGCGGCTGGATCGAGGAACAGGTAAGATAAAAAAAAAAAACTCTGCGGAAGTAAGAGCGGGTACCTGTCAAATTCAGGTACCCGCTCCCCCTCCCTCCCCAAAGGTCAGCAGTCATCCCCTGTACTGTCCGCAGTCTCTGGTCATCCCTGTGCTGTCCGCAGTCTCTGGTCATCCCTGTGCTGTCCGCAGTCTCTGGTCATCCCTGTGCTGTCCGCAGTCTCTGGTCATCCCTGTGCTGTCCGCAGTCTCTGGTCATCCCTGTGCTGTCCGCAGTCTCTGGTCATCCCTGTGCTGTCCGCAGTCTCTGGTCATCCCTGTACTGTGTCTGCAGTCTCTGGTCATCCCTGTACTGTGTCTGCAGTCTCTGGTCATCCCTGTACTGTGTCTGCAGTCTCTGGTCATCCCTGTACTGTGTCTGCAGTCTCTGGTCATCCCTGTACTGTGTCTGCAGTCTCTGGTCATCCCTGTACTGTGTCCGCAGTCTCTGGTCATTCCTGTACTGTGTCCGCAGTCTCTGGTCATCCCTGTACTGTCCGCAGTCTCTGGTCATCTCCTGTACTGTGTCCGCAGTCTCTGGTCATCCCTGTACTGTCCGCAGTCTCTGGTCATCCCTGTACTGTCCGCAGTCTCTGGTCATCCCTGTACTGTCCGCAGTCTCTGGTCATCCCTGTACTGTCCGCAGCAGTCTCTGGTCATCCCTGTACTGTCCGCAGTCTCTGGTCATCTGGTCATCCCTGTACTGTCCGCAGTCTCTGGTCATCCCTGTACTGTCCGCAGTCTCTGGTCATCCCTGTACTGTCCGCAGTCTCTGGTCATCTCCTGTACTGTGTCCGCAGTCTCTGGTCATCCCTGTACTGTGTCCGCAGTCTCTGGTCATCCCTGTACTGTGTCCGCAGTCTCTGGTCATCCCTGTACTGTGTCCGCAGTCTCTGGTCATCCCTGTACTGTCTGCAGTTCTGGTCATCCCTGTACTGTGTCCGCAGTCTCTGGTCATCCCTGTACTGTGTCCGCAGTCTCTGGTCATCCCTGTACTGTGTCCGCAGTCTCTGGTCATCCCTGTACTGTGTCCGCAGTCTCTGGTCATCCCTGTATTGTTAATTAGTTTGCACTACTGTACGAGTTGTTTTTTCTAAACCAAAAGCTCGATATTCAGGTTTCATTGCAGTGTTGGCACTTTGAAAGAAATAAGTTGGTTTTGGGTTGCAGTTTGGGCACTCGGGCTCAAAAAGGTTCGCCATCACTGTGCTAGGGTGTGTATTTCAAAGTGATTTCTCAATTAAATAAAGCATGGAAACATGGGTGAATGGAGGAGTTTGCTTTGAATATTAAAAATTAATTAAATAGTTTTTGGTTTGTGGTGCTCAGGTGCAGTGTAGTTCTACTTTAATTGCAGCTAATAAGTTTTACTCGACTCTACCCCTTACCCACTCTACCAAATTGTAAACAGAAACCCAACTGTAAAATGAAACCCCTTGTTATGGCAACAGATAATGCTACAAACTCTGAATATTGTCTCTAATGTACCCATGAAATAAAAGATGCTTTTCAGTCATTCTTGCTGGCACCTACCAAAAACTGATATGACAATGGTGAAGGGACTGATTAACCACTGATGCAAAGTTTTCACATGAAAGCAGCACATAAAGATAATCTAATAGGCTGCTACAGAAGTGGTTTCCTTTTTTTATATTCTATGATTTTGTTTTTAGCTGAACTCCAGGCAAAAAAAAAAAAATTTAAGAGTATTTTACCTGCTAAATGTCCTGAAATTTACAAAGGCTTGTTACACAGCTCAGCCCTATCTATCAAGGCAGAAAAACAGATTTTTGTCTGCTGCAGTTAAGAAAAACTCACAGGTCTTGTTCCTCTGTGTGCAACTGGACAGTAAAAAGGAGTTCATCTCTATAGCTCTGATCTTTCATACGATTAGCGTGTTTATCAGCACATGACCACAGCAGCACAGCTAATTGGCTCCTTGTGCTGCTTCTCCCTCCCCCAGTCTAAGTTCCACTTTACAGGGACTGGATGAGGCCAGTCAAATTCAGGTGCTTAAACGACTTACACAAAAATACATTTACTGATATATTAATGAACACAATGTTGCATTAATCTTTTATATCGGTTTAGAGTTCAGCTTTAAAGCTGAACTCGTGTTATGAATATTTTTGCATACATTGGTCCAGCTTGGACCAAGTATGCATATCTCAGACTGCTATGGAAGCTGCAAATCACTGTACTAGCTGGTACTGCTACAGTGATAGATATCATCCAGGTCCTGTGCCAAGCAGTTTTTCATTTGCATAGTAACCACATCGGGTCACTTGCTCAGCCCTATCACATTTACAGAACACATTGCAATTTTTTTTTTTTTTTTTTTTTTTAAATGAATACACGGCATTCTCTTACTGGACAAGGTGTAGAAGTGAGGTCGATCTCCACCTCCAAGCAGAGAATACCCTGTACGCGCTGACAAAATACAAGGTGTTCTGTGTATCTACACAGACCAACCATAACATTATGATCACTAACAAGCAAATAGCATTGTTCAGCTTGTGACAATGGCACCTGAAAGTGTGTGGGATATATTTGACAGACAGCAAGTGAACAAGCTATCCCTGAAGTTTATGTGTAGAAAGCAGAAAAAGAAAATAGCAAGTGTAAGGATTTGAGTGACTTTGACAAGGGTCAAATTGTAATGGCTAGATGACTGGGTCAGAGCAACTCTAAAAATGCAGCTCTTGTGGGATGCTCCCGATCTGCAGTGGTTAGGACCTAGAAAAATGAGTCCAAGGAAGGAAAACTGGTGAACAGCCAATAGGGTCATGGGCAACCAAGGTTCATTGATGCAATTGGGGAGCAAAGGTTGCCCATGAAGTCTGATCCAATAGAAGAGCTACTGTAGATCAAATTGCTGAAAAAACACACAGAACATCTCAGTTTGCCCATGTTGACCCGTGTCCACAGCCAAAAGAACCTGCAATGTACATATGGACATGTGAGCATCAGAAAAGGACCACGGAGCAATGGAAGAAGGTGGCGTGGTCTGATGAATCATGTTTTCTTTCACATTATGTGGATGGTCAGGTATGTGTGTATGTAGCTTACCTAGGAAAGAGACAGCACCAAGGTGCATTATGGGAAGAAGGCAAGCCAGCGGAGGCAGCGATCTGCTACTGACAACATGGTGCCAGATATCACAGCATAACCTTCAGAAGTCTAGTGGAGGACATGTCTCAATGGGTCAGGGCTGTTCTGGTGGCAAATGGGAGACTAACTCAATTATAGGTGAGTGGTCATAATGTTATGATTTGATGTTATGTTTGATCGGTGTATGCAATAAAATTCATACACGGGTGAGGAAAGAAAGTAAACCAGGTCTACTTATTGTTTCAGGTTAGAAGCCACTGACGTTTGGGGAACTAACATTTTCAGAAATTTCTCCCTTGTAATCAGGGAAATTACAGGGCAATGAACCAAGTGTCTTGCAATGATGAGCATTTGTCTAAATATATATTGTAGTGTTGTAAAAATAAAAAAAAGCAAGCATGAATTGAAACCATGAGCAAGTCTCTACAGCAGTAGTCGTATTCCATAAAGGTATATGGAGTCCGAATATTGGCTGAACAAGTGAAAGCTGTAATAAGAATTATATCACTCATAGGGAATATATAACTCACCATGGCGATTCTGAGCTTGGGTTTAGAAATGTATCCTATACACCACAGAACAGTAGTGGCCCATGCAATATTTGTTGCTAGACTCACACTAACTAGGCCAGTGGAAATCACCCGAAGTTTCAAATGTATCCAATATCATTAATAGATTAAATTTCCCATGTCAATATGAAATGATGCTGGCTAAAAAAAGAATTTAAAACAGCAAAATTTATGAAACAATGGCGAATATGGGTTTCCCACCCTAAAGCTTGTCAACATGTAAAGTAGTATAATAGGACTTAAAGTGTTACTAAACCCAGGACCCTGCATTCACTATATCTGGTTTCCCACAGAACATGTTAGTGCAACTATTTTAGTAAATATAAACTGCTAAATACCTTTACTCATCAGCAGTATATATAGCAGGCTTGTGTCTTCTATCAGTGTCCGGCAGAACACTGGTTAATCCTCTAGGAGTTTCAATTCTGCTCTGACTGTCCTGTGAGGCTGCATAACTCCTGACCCTCTGTCTGGACAGTGCTGACTGGCCCTGTGCTGATCACATGCACCCTCTAAAGAAGGGAAAAAAAAAAAACCCTCTCCAGCAATACACACTAAACTGAGCATGTGCAGAGTGACTCCTAGAGCTCTGTACTATAAGCAGATGAATTTGGGACAGTAAAAGAAGAAGAGGACAATAGAAAACAGGATCCTTTTTTACAGCATGCAGATTTTAACCCCTTCGGTTTCACAGTGAGTATAACCGGCATGCTTTACTGCATATACAGACTAATTTTACTGATGTGGATTTAGGCATACACTAATCCCTTATCTATTCCATATGTGCCAGCAGGCTGTATTAGAAAGTGTAGCTTTCTTTAAATAACACTTGCAATGAACTTTTTTTCTGTTTTCTAATTACTTAGACCTAGTCAGATCCTATTTGGGGTGACAGTTACAATTAATGGTCTGGTTGTATAAGCCTTTATTATACAAGTATGTTGACTGGATATAAATGCATTAACTTATTATATAGACGTTGTAAAGGTTGGAAATGCTTTATCCTTTGTAGTTTAATCTTTGATATTTCTTTATTGTAATTACTTAATTTCAATAAAAAGTATTTTTAAAAAAGCTGTAATAATATCATAATTATCATAATTCTTGTTTACATTTGAATTCCTCCCAATTAAAACACTTTTGGGTTTGCTCAGAGCATCTGCCTCCAAGGGCCGTAGAAAGACCTTCCATTTTTTGGATGTCATTCACCCTGGTGAACCATTGTTTTAAGGACGGCAGACAGATTTGTGTCCAGGAACTCGGGAAGCAAGCCTTGACGGCATTCAAGAGGTGCATTACTAGCGACTTCTTGAATTTCTTCTGATATATAGCAACTGGCATTTTTACAAGAAATCAGCAACTCTAGCCTCCATATTTTGCTCAGCACAGATGTCCTTTACTAGGTTTGTTAATCTAGAAAACTGTAAGACAGTCCCTAACCCCTGTAATTGTTATAAGCTTCAAAATGCAACAAACTGTTAGGTTGTTTAATATCAAGACTAGGAACTCTGAGCAAAATCTATCTCTGTAAGGTACTGTATGCTATATATTTCAGCTGTGAAGCTCCCCTGTCCCACCACATGAGCAAGAGGAAAAAAAGACTAACACCCAGCTCCAGCTTGTGTCTAACCAGCCCCTTTCCCTCTCTTTATACATTCTCTAATTCCTGCAGTCCTCAGGTCAGTCATTATGTCATGGGTACTTCCTCTCTCTCCTCTGGCAGTGGCAGACCTTACCACTGAACACAGTGGTGCTAACATAATAAAGTGTGAATGAATACCATTCTGTACATTACACTTTAAGCCCAGGCAGATGTTATGATGCATCCCCTAGGGCTGTGTTCATGACAGCCTGGGCACACAGAAGTGGACAGGATGGCGCTGGCAGTCATTTAATAAGGAAGAGGACCGGTGATGATGCACATAGCAGTAAGTCTGCAGGGGACAGTGCCAGAAAGGTAGTGAATATGTAATGCATCTTTGTTTGGCAATTTAGTTTTCTTAATAAAGGGGGGTACAGAGTAGCACACAGATGGGGCATTGGGATCCACTGTTAAGATGTGCTATTCCATTTTTCAAAGCAATTTTAAAATGGTAACAAGCAACTGATGAACCTTTTAAAACAAATATTAATTCAATTATAAACTGAGGTATCGTAGAGGGTCCTAATGTAGCACCAACAATTTTGTTCCTATCTACACATAGCACTTACCCAGACTGTTGTGATCCTTAAGTGTTTTCTCCTGAAGCTGTTCTAAGCGTACTGCAAGCAGAATTCCAAAAATAAAAAAAAATGCCAAACAAAAAAAAAAATTCAAAAGCAGAAAGCGGAGTCTTGGAGCTCACCTTGTAACGCAGTGAGACGCTCATTGGTGAAATCATTGTCCGCCTGTAAGGCCTCAATCTTTGCCTGGAGTTCCTGCTCCTTCTCCTCCATCTCTTCAATCTTCAGTTGTAATTCTTTCTTCTCTGCAAGCCCCTTCTGCTGTATTTCATCTTGCCTTCCTTCAGCTGCCTGTAACGAGGGAGTGTTGCAAGTGACTGAAACTGCATTACTGTTCAGATATAGGATAAACTGCAGTCACAAAATGAAACTTTCACTGACCACTCAGAATGACACAACAGTAAGCGCTACAGATGCACACTTTTATCAATACTATAGGGATCTGAGGTGGAGAGCCACATAAGTATTGTAATATTCATACAGCGCAGAGACTCAATTGGTGTTCTATATAATGGTCCTAGCAGAAAAAAAAAAATTTAGTACATAAAAAAAGAGGCTATACATTTGCTACAGAAGCCATGCTGTAATTTCATGTTCTTAAAAATTCTTTCCAATCTTGAGCTACTGTAATTTGCTGTAAAATTCAATGCAATATGGCTATCTGGAGGAGATCTGTATACCGCTGGTGTACAGAATGGCCTCTGAAATTTAATTTCCTCTATGTACAATTGGCTCTCTGATTTTCCCAGAAGTCAGCACTAAGTTAGGTCAAATTGTAGGCACCCCCTGCAATAGGAATTTCAGTTTTGGTATGATACTCCCCATGGGTTTATTTCCTCTAAAGGAAGAGTCCCTGCCGCTTTTAGCATTAGAACAATCAGATTGCACCAACTGATAATGAACCAGTCCCTCCCATTTGGAATCATTCTGCAATCAGTCACTAACCTCACTAACACCCCGTTCCCTCTCTCTGATCACAACCTGATCACCTTCTCTATCTCCTCGTCCTCCAACGCCTACCCCTCCAAATGTCACACTACTACCAGCCGTAACCTCCGCAACCTTAACCCTGCCCCCCTCCACTCTGCAGCTGATCAACTCCACGACCGCATCCTCCCCCTGTCCTGCCCCGACTTGGCTATGACTGCCTACAACAACGCGCTGTCAGCAGCCCTTGACTCACTAGCGCCTTTAACCACACGCAACATCAGACTCCGACCGCTCCAGCCCTGGCAGACTGATCACACCAAAACCCTCAAACGACGCAGTCGTGCCCTGGAGCGACTATGGCGCAAAACAAAATCCCAACAAGCTTTCACCTGCTACAAATCTGCCTTCCGCACCTACACCTCCTCCCTCCACGCAGCCAAACAGGCCTACTTCTTGACCCTCATCAAGACCCTCTCCTCCAATCCTCGCCGACTCTTCTCCACCTTCAACTCTCTACTCTCTCCACCCCCACCTCCACCCAGCACCTCACTCACCGCCCTTGAGATTGCCAATCACTTCAAAAACAAGATTGACACAATTCGCAAGGACATTGCCGCAACTCACACGCCCTCTCAACCCGTCCCCTCTCACACAGCTACCCCCTCATCCCCCCTCCCCCTTGACATTACCCGCAGGGACTTCGTCACTGCTCAAACTCCCTCCAACCCCGTTCCCCCTCACTCAGCTACCCCCTCATCACCCCTCTCCCACGGCCCCACCACTGCTCTGACCTCCACTCCCACCCCACCCTACATTCCTCATACTGAAGCTCCCCCAACACTCCACACCTTTGACCTTACTACCATCGAGGAAGTCTCCAAGTTCCTCTCTGATGCCCGCCTCACCACCTGCCCCCTCACAATTCCTACGACCTCCTTCCCCCTCCATCCTACGCTCCCTCACCCACATCTTTAATCTCTCCCTCTCCTCCGGCACTTTCCCCTCCCCACTGAAGCATGCACACATCACCCCCATACTTAAAAAGCCCTCCCTGGACCCCAATGACCCGAACAACCTCAGACCCATCTCCCTGCTCCCACTTACATCTAAACTCCTCGAGCGCCTCGTCTACACCCGCCTATGCTCTCACCTCAACAACAACAACCTCCTCGATCCCCTACAGCAGCGGTTCTCAACCTGGGGGTCGAACGACCATTTCCCAGGGGTCGCCTAAGACCATCGGAAAACACATATTTCCGATGGTCTTAGGAACCGAGACACCGTTGCTCTGTCTCGCGATCTGTGGGCGGGATGATATGCTGCCCCTGTAACCTGGCCACACCTCTCCGGGATCACTCAACAGCTCCGCCTCCTCGCCGCTGATTGGCCACCGGAACTGTAGCTCAGGAGAGGCACACAGGCGGCCAATCACCGGCGAGGAGGTGGAGCTTGGAGAGGAGGAGCCGAGCGCCAGAGCGCGCAGATCGAAGAAGATCGAGGGAGCTGCAGGAGCGAGTGAAGAGGAGAGCGGCCAGAGAAGGAAGACAGCTGACAGGTAAGTGCAAATTTTGCTTCTGCAGGCTGTAGATGGGAGAGGGAGAGAGCGAGCCCAGGCTGGAGCAGGGGTCAGCAAGGTAAGTATCATTGGTGTCAGTGGAAGGGATAGTGCCCCATCATTTGTGTCACTAATACCAACGATGGGGCACTATTGGGGCACTATTCCCCCCCCACTGACACCAACGATGGGGCACTATTCCTCCCCCCACTGACACCAACGATGGGGCACTATTCCTCCCCCCACTGACACCAACGATGGGGCACTATTCCTCCCCCCACTGACACCAACGATGGGGCACTATTCCTCCCCCCACTGACACCAACGATGGGGCACTATTCCTCCCCCCACTGACACCAACGATGGGGCACTATTCCTCCCCCCACTGACACCAACGATGGGGCACTATTCCTCCCCCCACTGACACCAACGATGGGGCACTATTCCTCCCCCCACTGACACCAACGATGGGGCACTATTCCTCCCCCCACTGATACCAACGATGGGGCACTATTCCTCCCCCCACTGACACCAACGATGGGGCACTATTCCTCCCACTGACACCAACGATGGGGCACTATTCCTCCACTGATACCAACGATGGGGCACTATTCCTCCCACTGACACCAACGATGGGGCACTATATTCCTCCCACTGACACCAACGATGGGGCACTATTCCTCCCACTGACACCAACGATGGGGCACTATTCCTCCCACTGACACCAACGATGGGGCACTATTCCTCCCACTGACACCAACGATGGGGCACTATTCCTCCCACTGACACCAACGATGGGGCACTATTCCTCCCACTGACACCAACGATGGGGCACTATTCCTCCCACTGACACCAACGATGGGGCACTATTCCTCCCACTGACACCAACGATGGGGCACTATTCCTCCCACTGACACCAACGATGGGGCACTATTCCTCCCACTGACACCAACGATGGGGCACTATTCCTCCCACTGACACCAACGATGGGGCACTATTCCTCCCACTGACACCAACGATGGGGCACTATTCCTCCCACTGACACCAACGATGGGGCACTATTCCTCCCACTGACACCAACGATGGGGCACTATTCCTCCCACTGACACCAACGATGGGGCACTATTCCTCCCACTGACACCAACGATGGGGCACTATTCCTCCCACTGACACCAACGATGGGGCACTATTCCTCCCACTGACACCAACGATGGGGCACTATTCCTCCCACTGACACCAACGATGGGGCACTATTCCTCCCACTGACACCAACGATGGGGCACTATTCCTCCCACTGACACCAACGATGGGGCACTATTCCTCCCACTGACACCAACGATGGGGCACTATTCCTCCCACTGACACCAACGATGGGGCACTATTCCTCCCACTGACACCAACGATGGGGCACTATTCCTCCCACTGACACCAACGATGGGGCACTATTCCTCCCCACTGACACCAACGATGGGGCACTATTCCTCCCACTGACACCAACGATGGGGCACTATTCATCCCACTGATACCAACGATGGGACACTATTCCTCCCACTGACATCAGTGATGGGGCGCTAGTCCTCCCACTGCAAAATTACAGTTCTGAAGTAGCAACGAAAATAATTTTATGGTTGGGGGTCACCACAACATGAGGAACTGTATTAAGGGGTCGCGGCATTAGAAAGGTTGAGAACCACTGCCCTACAGTCTGGCTTCCACCCCCTACACTCCACCGAAACCGCCTTACTCAAACTCTCCAACGACCTTCTAACCGCCAAAGCTAATGGCCACTATTCAGTGCTCCTACTCCTTGACCTCTCTGCGGCCTTCGACACAGTCGACCACCCCCTCCTCCTCAAAATACTACACTCCCTCGGCCTCAGAGATTCTGCTCTCTCCTGGCTCTCATCCTACCTGTCACAACGCTCTTTCAGCGTTACCTATAATGCTACCACCTCCCCCTCACTCCCCCTCTCTGTTGGGGTCCCTCAAGGCTCTGTCCTTGGGCCCCTTCTCTTCTCCATCTACACCTCCTCCCTTGGCCAACTCATACACTCTCACGGCTTCAACTACCACCTCTATGCCGACGACACACAAATCTATCTCTCAACCCCCCACCTCACCCCCTTGGTCTCTGCCCAAATCACACACCTACTGAGCGACATATCAGATTGGATGTCGCTCCACTTCCTTAAACTGAATCTCTCCAAAACCGAGCTCCTTGTCTTTTCCCCAGCCCGAACCCCACCCCCCATTGACTTCTACATCACATCCAACAATGCCAATATCAAACCCGCTCTGCAGGCCAGAGTACTTGGTGTCATTCTGGACTCCAACCTATCCTTCCAGCCCCAAGTCCAATCTTTAACAAACTCGTGCAGACTCCACCTCCGCAACATCGCCAAAATCCGCACGTTCCTAACCCCAGAAACCACTTAACAGCTCATCCACTCCCTCATCATATCACGACTCGACTACTGCAACTCCCTCCTCACTGGCCTGCCTCGCCGCTGGCTATCCCCGCTTCAGTCGATCCTGAATACGGCTGCCAGACTCAGTCACCTTTCCAACCGCTCCATTTCCGCCACCCCCCTCTGCCAATCCCACTGGCTTCCGATTGCGCAACGGATCAAATTTAAAATCCTAACACTGACGTACAAAGCTGTCCACCATACTGCCCCGAACTACATCACCGACCTAATATCCAAGTACCGCCCAGCACGCACACTACGCTCCTCACAAGACCTCCTTCTCTCTAGTTCCCTGGTCTCCTCCTCCCATGCCTGCCTCCAGGACTTCTCCAGGGTGTCACCCATCCTCTGGAACTCCCTTCCCCAACCCATCAGATTATCACCTACTCTCCTCTCCTTTAGGCGCACCCTGAAAACCCATCTCTTCAGGGAAGCCTACCTCACCCCCTGCTAACTTGCTGACCTCCTTCACTCTTCCTACCACTCCATCCCCCACAGCTATCTCCTCCTGTACCACTATCCCATCCCTTCTAGATTGTAAGCTCGAAAGAGCAGGGCCCTTGATCCCCTCATGTTTTGCATTGCATTGGTATTGTTCTGTCACATGTTCTGTCCCCCTTGTAATGTACAGCGCTGAGTGAACTATTGGCGCTTTATAAATACTGTATAATAATAATAATCAGTCTGGAGAAATAGCTATTTTTTAGAGCAACAAAAATTAGGAATCTGCTAAAATGTTGGTTAAAATCCCTGCAATGTATATCACACAAAGGGGATTGTGTTTTTTTGTTTTTTTCAACAAAATTAGAGCTACTCTTTAAATTGAACCCATTAAACTAACAGTATATTTTTGAGCGGGGTAAGAAAATCATAACACATGCGAAAACCCACTCAAGCATGGTAAGAGAAGACAAACCACATGCAATGTCCTCTTTGCCAACACAAATGAGGAATTCTGAAATTTATATATGAAAATTATATATAAAAATTGTGGTGTGTTTTATCAAGAGGAACTAAAAATGAGAGATTTGAACATTTTCTAAAATTATAGGAAGGCCTAGATATCTTTATTGTTCCAAAGAAGTATTCAATAAATCCACCTTTTGTCTTTAAAGTGCACATATGGCAATAACAGTAACAATGAACTGCTCTAACTTCTCTTTTGGCCTGGTAAATGCACCATTGGAAGCGGTTTATTATACATGTTTGATAATTGCAAAAAAATACCTGTTATTGGAAATTCATAGCCGCCCTGTGTTCTCTGCAGAATTCCTGTGTTATCTCAAAGAGAACCCCTAGTTCTTACCTTGGGCTTGAACTGATTATCCTTTATGCTGTGGGTCTGAGCATGGCAGTGAATGAGCAGTTTAGCAAAAAGACACTGGGCAGGGCTGACACTGCTCTATACAAAAAAATGCTGTATGCTATCCACTCATAAGAGAACTTAAAGTAGAAATTTAGGCTATACAACACAGCACCTATTAAATGCCACCTCCCCATTGCTCCCCACTGTGCTGCATACATTTGGGCATAAATGGAAATTTAAACTTTTTTTGCAATGCAAATCCAAGTGTTGTGTGCAGAGCAGACAATGGGGGTAAATACCATAGAACAGTGAAATCACCTACCGGCGCCCACTGCTCTAGGCATTGTCAAAGGGAGGAAGAGAACTACATCCCATCAGGTGCACATCGCTTTGCAATCACATGACTGCATAGAAAAGGGTTAAAAAAAAAAAAAAAGTAGTATTTAAATTGTGATTTATGCTAAAATGTATGCAGCACAATGGGGAGCAGTGGGGTGGCAGTGTCTAAAACATGGGGAGTTGTATAGTCCAAGCGTCTACTTTAAACGCTGAGGGCATTTCTGGCAAATCATTGGGTGTTCTTCCATCCTTGCGGGGTCTTTAAACAGAAAAATCATGTGCGAAAGAGCATGTATTGCAGGAATGTAGATCGCTTTTTTACCTTGACATACCGTTTAGTTTCTTCTGAAAAAAATAGCAGTGCAACTTCAGTGCCTTGAGCCTCAAAACTGTAAATCTTACAGTGCGAGTTTCCCCCACCAGTCACAGGCTGGACAGTTCTGACATAAGAAAATCACTGTCTGTACCAAGATGGAAGCCTCTACACAGAGGGACAGTGCAGAGCAAAGAAATCAAAGTCTGTAATTGGAAAAAGATCACCTGCATGAATTCTACAGACAACACTGGGGACTAGTCTTGACTCCCTCTTCTTTTTTTTCAGGTCCAGTTTTCACAATAAAGGCCCTCTTTAAATTACCACTAAATTTTAATACAATAGATCACAACTACTATTCATGCAAGGGTTTGTAATGGAGTTCAGGGGAAAAGAGTACATAGCACAGGTGCTAAGCTATAATTATCCTTCTACATAATAAAGGGTAAGCTGATCACTCTTCACTTGTAAAGGAAACTCTCAGAGGGTGGCTTCTGACCTCCAAGTACAATTATGGTGACCCTACAAGATTCACTGTCACAAGTGACATATGGAGCTGAACTGTTCAGATCCTTTTCTGAATACCAAGGTCTATGGCCCAAGAGGAAAAGCATGTCTTTTAGTGAGTATATTACATTGTCTACAATGTCATGTACCTTAACATTTCAGCTAAAATTTTACAATTAAAAAGCATTAGTATATGCAAACAAAGCAGTCACCCACAAGTGCATTGCCAAATCAAGGTTTTAACAGGACAGTGAAACATGACCTTGCCATGTACCATATGGCAAATGTGTAATACTAAACCTTTTCTCAACCACACCAGATCACATCACATCTTTCTCAAGCAGCTGCGCTTCAGCATGTACTTGAAATCCATCATGTTCTATTTAGTTCTGTGAATTACTTACAGTCAGGTCCATAAATATTGGGACATCGACACAATTCTAACATTTTTAGCTCTATACACCACCACAATGGATTTGAAATGAAACGAACAAGATGTGCTTTAACTGCAGACTGTCAGCTTTAATATGAGGGTATTTACATCCAAATCAGGTGAACGGTGTAGGAATTACAACAGTTTGCATATGTGCCTCCCAAACTATATAAGCGCGTTGGACATCTCAATCTAAAACATTGGTTTCGGATGAGACGACTTGTCTCATAATCAGTGGTCCAATTCATTATAGAGGTGTTCAAATGCATCGGGCCGCTTGAGTTCCTCCACACCAAACTTGTCAAACCATGTCTGTATGAAGTCAGCTTTATGAAAAGTCAAACTGGATAAGAAAAGAGCCTATCCAAGCTGCTGCGAAAAGGCTGGAAACACATAATTGTATAAAATGTCTCCAAATGCTGTATCATAACTAGAGCACATCACTGGAAACAACTGAATGAAATAATCTGGAACAGCGTCCACATACTTGTGGCCATATAACATATATACAGAGAGAATGATGACCAGTTAAAGTTACACCAGTGTAATCTCAAGTTAAATTTTTCAGGTTAATAGACTGTCCATACTAATTTCTGAGATAAATATCATAAGTTTCAGTCATTAAGAACACTAGTTTAAAAAAAAAAAAAAAATTACCTTTAGTTTGTCAGCAAGATCTTTAATTTCATTTACTGCGCCATTGTATTTGTTGGCCAGTTCTCGCAGTTCCTCTTGTGTGCGTTCGTTCATCTCCTTCAGGTGGGTACATTCATCTTCTGTGTTACTTAAACTTCTCTGCAATTGCCAGACAAACATTATGCTCCTCAGTTAAATTTCACTTACAATTCATCATCCCATGGTCTACTTTAGCAATAAAGCGTTTGTTTCAAAGCAGTGCTGAGCACGTATAGGCTAGGCAACTAAGCCCTTACTCTTATACATATTGCTATGTGATTGGCATTCAGTCTAAGGATTCCATCTTGCCTACCAAAGATTTGTAATGTTCAGCTGGTTTTCACTGCAGTAGTAGCAAAGCTTGGCAAAGAAGAAAACCCCACCTAGGTCAGGAGACAGAATATTTGTAGTCCTTGATCTTTACACCTACTTTTTTGTGGCTCTCCTAACTAATGCCCATAATTGTGCTCTCTCTGACAACTCCAAACACCTCTCCGTTGTTCTGGAAGCTGCCTATACATGCTCGAACTTGCTTTTAGAGGGCCAAATGCTCTCCATCGCTCCCCTTACCACCTCCATGAAAGTGGTACTTAAAGCCTGGTGTATAACCATGCCTAAACACTCTGATTCTACTATTCCTTGGTCTCCCTTTACACCGCTTTGGTGTAACCCCTCCCAGTGGGCCTCTTGGGGCATTAAAATTCACAAACACATCTGCGAGGGGGAGGGGCATGGACACGTTTGACACGTTGAAAGGGAGATTTGACCTGCCCAACTCCTTCTTTTGGTTCCTGCAGCCTATAATTCTCAATCTGGCACTTTGAGGGTGCAATTGCTTCAGGATGACCTGGAGTTGCTCCTATGTGACTACTCCTTGTATAAGCCACTGTCCATGATTTACAAGGATCTCATGCCCTCTTTTCCTGCTGGCCTGGAATGCATGTACCCCAGTTGTAGGCAGAGGGGCTGGAGCTGGATGGAGAGGATTGAGAGGACATTTAGAAATACCCTTTTCTCCACTTAGAGACAACCACAGATAGGTTGATCCAATTCAAATAACTTCATAGGGCCTATTTCACTACGCAAAGGCTGCATAGAATTTATCCAGGGACTTCTCATTGCTGGAGATGCGGGAGGGACTTGGTTGACTTTATGCATGCTTTCTCGGAGTGTCCCCAGGTGCAGGCCTTCTGGTCTGAAATCACAAGGTTTATTACTACTCTGACTACTATCCCCATTCCGGTCACAGTTTGCGACTGTATATTAGGACTTTTGGACTTCTTGGCATTTACTATGGCCACTTTTTTACACCAGGAAGGCCATTACATTCAAAATGGTAGTCAGATAAGGCTCCCACTTAGGCAATGGTCAATTCAGTAATTGCTCTTTAAAAAGTAACTTATCTCTCCCGTGGTTGACCCAAGAAATTTGAAAACGTATGGGATATATGGCTTAATTTCTCATCTACGACTGAGTCTGTCTGATCTCACATCTTACCCCACTGGTTCTGGTGTTCATGCGCCTTATTTACATTACTGAGGATTGAAAATGTGGTCTTAGGCCCCCTACTTTGGAGTCACCAACTATAAAAAAGGGAGTTGCCTCTTTATTCCATCCCTTATCCTTGATGGTTTTTCTTTGCTTATGTCATTCAAGTTGTCCCTAATTTTTGCTAATGTTATACTTCAGTTGAATATTTGTCTCCTAGTGCCTACGATTGCCATGTTGTTATGAAGGGGACTACAGGAGATGGGTATCAAAACAAATTGAGGTACATTTAACAATTTATAGATTTTTTTTTTACTGCACACTTATGCTATGGAGCACTGTGGTAGTTCATTGATTGTCCCTGTCAGTAAATCTGCTTGCCTGTACATCCCGTAAGGGCAAGCAGATATAATGACAGGTCTGCAGGAGACCTGCATGGCACCAGCGATCTGCTGATCAGTGGTGCAATGGTTTTACAGGCCCCTGCAACAAAAAAAAAATAATAAAAGCACATTTATTACCTGCAAAAAAAATCTGCATCTATTTTTTGGTCAAAAGGTGAACTTATCCTTTAAACTGAAAATGCAATAGTTCTTTAAAGAGCTGTCACTAAGAGATGAAAAAAAAAAATACAGTTGATAAGAAAAGCCTAGACAATTTTCAGTTAATAAGCGACCCAAAGTAGAAACAAAATCACATTGTATGCTTCTCTCATTTATTAAATTGCAGATACCACCACAGTCTCCCTACACATCTGGGCCCTCATTTTGCTGACACTTCCACTTCTTCATGTAAGCAGAGTGCACTTTTCTAATCGGCAAAAGCACTTATTTGATGCTTGGCCAGAGGTAGCTAAATAATGCCAAACACAGACCCCCATGCTCGGCTGAAGGTACATCTCTTTTAAACTGCAGTCTGAAGTCTAAAACCCCATCTCATATGCATTTTGAATTTAGGCTCATTCGGAGGGCAGAATATATATGCCGTAAGGCTCTAGCTTTCTTTTTGGCATCTCTCTTACATTGGTTGCGCCATATGATCACCTGTATCATTTTCTGAATGGTTTTAAACCTGAAGCTGTGGGACTGCAGAATCAGCAGTTCCCTGATTTCAAGTATTACTCTTCATAGCTCTTAGGGACAGTGTATCCATCTTGAGTCACGTGACAAAGGGCAGCTGTTCCACCCAAAAGCACTGTGGAATGCCTGCTGAATCCAGCTTTACCTAGTTTTAGCTGTTGACATATAACACAGATTAAACTAAAGATACACCGAGTGAGATTTTAGAATTTAGCATTGAAACAATGTTTCCTTGATGGCATTTCACTAAGTTTACTTTCTGGAATTACTCTTTAGAGAGAAACTAAAATATAATGCTTTAATACTTCTAAAAGACGACATTTTGTCCATCTTTCCCTATCCTCAATTGCGTCATTATATCTACTACAGTTTGGCAGGACTGCTTTAAACACAGGCATCATTGTTGTATCTGTATATTTGCTCAGTACATATTGGTTGAAAGGTGGATTAGGATTTTACATAATTGAAAGGGGTTCAGTGCACTCTGTGCCATTTCTCTGAATGTAAAGTGTTGGTACAGTGTAACACAGTGACAGAGTTCTGATTAAACTAAGTGATTACCTCCACTTCAGAAAGCTTCCGCACCACCTCGATCTTTTCTTGTAAAACTCGCCTCAAAGACTCTTTGGCTGTTGTCTCATAGTTGTGTTTGTCTTCTTGTAATGCGATTAACTCTTTGCGAATGCCATCATCTGTCTGATTCTGCAAAATAAAAGACATTTCTGTATTACGGCAAATTTTTCAGACAATATGGGACTCAAGATCACAAAGAGCTATGCGTTAAAGTTCTGTTTGTTTAATTTACTAGCCTGGAACCAATGAAAATTGACCATACAATTACAAACACTATATCCATAAAGACACCAGCAGATAGTATTTTATTTTCTCAGCATGGTTTACTTATCCTTATATCATAGACTACCATAATTTTCCCTAGGATCCCAAAACAAAAATGCAATAAATAAATCACATGTAGCTGTATATCTGACGTTGTTTATACAATATGTTAAAGCCCAACTCCAAGGTCTTGGACAGAATGGAAAAGGGTTAGAAACACTGCTTGCAGCTAGTGTTGCCCCTGTGGAGCTTTTTCCGTTACTTCCCTTAGGACAAGAAATGATAGGAAATCTATCTAATGGGGACACAGACAGTGAAACCACTACTTCTTCAGTAAAATTAGGAAGGGTTGGAACATTTGCCATGTTATCATTAGTGTCCCCGTCTTCCCATTCCAGTGACAACTGTTTCAATAAATGCTAATAGATTGGCAGCTCCAAAAGCATGGCCGCCGAAATCCTTCTGAACTGTATTGTAACTATACTGTCTCACTTTATATTGTAAAGCACGGTGCAAACTGCTGGCACTATATGAATCCAGTATAATAATAGACTTGCTCCCACAGGGACAAGAAGTGAAAAATATAGGTTTGGATAAAGTTGAGCTTTAACAGTAAAGCAGCATTTGTAGAAGTAGGAAAGTCAAGTTAAATGGTGTTAAGACTTTTTGGACTTCTACAGGCACACAAAGACTAGTTTATGGTACAGCATTCAAAAGATGCAGTCTAGGGCTGTAACAACTAAAACATAATCAATGAAAATAGTTGTCAACTATTTTCATAATCAATTAGTTGGCTAGCCGATTATTTATAATGCAGAGAGAATGCATTATTTGTTTACATATCAGAAAATACAGTGCAGCACACATGCAGCTCAATACACGGTTCATTCATGCCAGTATACACAGTGCAGCACACATACAGCTCAGTATGGGGCTCTGTGCAGGCAAGATCAGCATCTGAACCCAGATAAGGTTATAGACTGGAGGTAATATAAAGCATTACAACTGAAGTCTCTGTTACTTCGAATTTTGAAAATGAACGTCGATTTGACCCCACTATTAGAAAATCAAACAAACGTTGTTAAAACAACATTTTTAAGCAAAAAATTTGTTTGTATATGGCCAGCATAACAAGTGGCGCAGTGGTGCAGGCTCAAGTAGCTTGTATCAAGTTACTTGCCTATGCCAAAGGAGTCTAAAAATCTGCAAAAATGTGTTTTATTATTTTTTTTTCTCTTTACATAAAAATTTTGATCTGAGTCTGATGGTATGTACCAGATTCAACTTCCTAATAGTATATACATCTCTTCTGTTATTCTCAGCGTGGAATAGATATTTTGCTCCCTAACAATATAGCCGGTTATTTATATTTACCACTGCAAATAGATATTCAAGAATAAGTTACTTTACATACTGTATTAACTAAATTATACAAACATTAAGGTTTTTTTCCGATGAATCAAAATAATAATCGGACAATCGATTATGAAAATAATTGTTGGTTGTAGCCCTAAAGCAGTCAATGCAGTCAAATGCAATGAAGCTTTGTCGTTAGGTGATAATCTCCATTGGGAACAGGTACTGACGTGAGAGGTCTGTGTGTTCTCTAAACTGCTGCAAACCTTTATTCCGGATACATAAATAAAATATAGGGGGATGATCTAGCAGCCTATCTGCTTCACTTATCACTGCAAAGACCTGCATCCCGCTTTTCTGGAAGCAACCTATTGCTCTCCTGCCAAGAGTTCAGTTACACAAAATTGAGGAAATTCACAAAATGGAAGATATGGAAGATATCCTTGCCTCTGCTAATCACAGAGAGAGTTTTCGCAAAACATCGTTCTACTGGACCAACCATTCCTTTTCCGCTCGTTAGATCGCAGACCTCGCCACCTTAATCTGGCTAGTTAGCAGCCCCCACTCTTGGTGCCTTGACAGGTACATTCTGGGAGGCCGCCTCTGCCTGTAAGGGCTGGTGCATGGGACCCCCAGGGTCAAGACCCTGCTTGCACGCCCCCACCACAATTTTTTTTTTCTTTCTGTACCCCAGAGGCCAAGAAATATAGCTTTATATATAAGTGAAAAGCAAACCCTGATGATGGAAGAGGGGTCCTTGCTTTTTCTGTGGTTGGAAACCCTCTTGTAGTATATTGATATATTCCGATACTTTTCCCTGAATCAGCTATGTTCCAAAGTAGCCATGATTTTTGTCTTCCTTTCTCTTTTAGTTCTATTTGTACAGGGGATTTCCCATGAAGACATGTGTATTTCTTTTGAGGATATCCTCATACCAAATTTTGTAACATGCTAAAAACATTTAAGAAGTTAAAACAAAATATATATACATTCTTTGTAAAGCCAGTATTACACCAGACCTACATGTACACACCTGTTTGTAAATATCCGTTTAGCAGACAACATGCACTTACATGTTTATTAGCATATACTTCATTATTAAATTAAAACCGGTTTGTATTATGATATACACAAGTGTCCTTACCCTATCACGACGTACTAAAAACAGGGGTTCCTATCAGACTCCCCTAATATATCCCTATACCCTTTCACCAGAGTGTTAAATCATTACCAATGCTATAGGTACCAGTATGGAAATAGAACAGCCACAAGAAAATCCTAAGATATAGATAGATATAATATTTGTGAAATATAAAACAGTAATTCACATAACTAGCTACAACTAGTATGATTTTTGCTAGAAATCGAGATACAGTTACGGACTACGTTACTGGCATGTCAACTCACACATTAAGCTGATTCACTTAATAAAAACCCCTGTCCTAAAATTTTGCTTACTTTTGAATAGGCCTGGAGCTGGCTCCCCATGACCTCCAAACGCGATAGAAGCCGGTCTTCATCTATTAAAGCCTTGATAAAAAAATAAAAAAAACACATGGTAAACAAGACACAGTTATAGGCAATTAAAACACACTTTACCTTAGAGAACCATACATTATTCTAAACATTTTGCTTCTATATTCCTTTTCATTGCTGTCCCTGCCTGCAATACATTTATAAAATATCCGTTTTTGCAAGCCACCAGCTAACACTTTGCACAGCTGCTGGCTCTCAACCCTGGCTGTTTTGGACAGCTTAGGTCCCCAATGAAGATCACAAACCAATCATATTGGTGCACAAATCATGTGATTAGTATGTTAGCCATGAAATAGTGATCACATGCAGCCTGGAAGCTTAACTGAAAAAACAGAAGGCTTTAGTCTGCAGATGGACACTGCTATCAATTTTATTTGTCCAAAATTAAGGCTCGGTTCACACTAACCAACTGCAAAGTTGTGCGTTTTTCAGTGCAACTTTGGAGTCCGAATTTGACATGATTTTGATGTAACTTTGAAAGGACTATTAGACTCTGTATCACTGAAGCCATATCAAAGTCTCATCAGAGTAGTGCAGGAACCTTTTCTAAAGTAGCAGTGACTTTAGTAGTGTCAGTTGGAACTGCTCTCAGAGATGCCTGGCATTTCACATGTCATGTGACTCTGCGTCTCACAAGTCGGATCCTAAGTTGCAGGAGCATGAACCAAGACTAAAAATGGGAAAAAAGGAGAGTTTAGCAGTGTACCAAAAAAGCCTTACATTTCCTTAGCAAATATATTTAAAAAATATTAAGCAAATTAGTCAAAATCATGGTCAAGCATAGTTGTATGCAGATACTGCTAAAGTTGGGCTGGGCATTTGTGCATTAATGAGCTTTGGTCAAGGGATAATTAACAAGATGCACAAACTCTCCCTTTAAAGAAAAAACAGATAATTACTAGCATTACATATTCGGAGAGACAATCCAGGCTTTTAGAGAACTGTCCCCCAAAACTTCCTCAGTTTTGGCCAATGGTCAAAAACAAAAACCCAAAAAACAGAGAAAGAACATTTCTGCGCTGAAGCTACATTCTCCTGTCAATACATATATGAAAACATCATACTTTGGACCATTGAGAGCTACTGACAGCTCTTTTTCACCAACACAATGGACGAGGAGTTACAACATGTGGAAAATTGATGTCTTCACTTTGATACCTGCCAACTAGTATCGGAAGCTTCCTGTGTATTGGCTAGTAGCCTCTGAAGAGTGGCCAACTTCTGTTCCAACATCTGTTCCCGATGTAAGGCCTCCTACGGAAAGTACACAGACACATGTCAACAGCAATTTTATCATCCGCTGCTTTATTATTGTTTGAAATTAAAGGAAAGGTCACTGAAATTAGACATATGTGAAAGTAAAAAACAAAAATCGGCCTGCAGTATATGCAATAACAAATTGTTAGACATACATAAATAGCAAAGCAAAAAAATTGCAGCAGAAGAGAACAAACAAATGGATACATGCAAACTTTAACTATTAAGTCCATAAAGTCCTTATGTGGAAACGGACCACCAACACGGATGAACAAAAATTAAGTATCATACATGTGACAGGATGTTCATTCCGGTGAGAAAGGTGCATGATCCCATCACCAAAAACAATCTTGGCTGCTCACCTTATGAATATGACCCAAGAACCAACAGGATAGTCATATAGCACTTTTCCTATTAAGGGTAAAAACTCCAAAGCGCACCAACACTGGTCCGGACAAGTGGTTCCTCAGATGCATCAAAGCATTCACCTTTCCAACCGCACCGTTTCCGCCACCCCCCTCTGCCAATCCCTCCACTGGCTTCCGATTGCGCAACGGATCAAATTCAAAATCCTAACACGGAGGTACAAAGCTGTCCACCATACTGCCCCGAACTACATCACCGACCTAATATCCAAGTACCACCCAACACGCACACTCCGCTCCTCACAAGACCTGCTTCTCTCTAGTTCCCTAGTCTCCTCCTCCCATGCCCGCCTCCAGGACTTCTCCAGGGTGTCACCCATCCTCTGGAACTCCCTGCCTCAACCCATCAGATTATCACCTACTCTCCTCTCCTTTAGGCGCACCCTGTAAACCCACCTCTTTAGGGAAGCCTACCCCACCCCCTGCTAACTTGCCGACCTCCTCCACTCTTCCTACCACTCCGTCCCCCACAGCTTTCTCCTCCTGTGCCACCATCCCCTCCCTCCTAGATTGTAAGCTCGAAAGAACAGGGCCCTCGATCCCCTGATGTTTTGCATTGTATTGTTATTGTTCTGTCACATGTTCTGTCCCCCTCTGTAATGTACAGCGCTGAGCGAACTATTGGTGCTTTATAAATACTGTATTATAATAATAAAGTATACCCTCCTTTTAGAGATGCTAGTTGCTTGGCTGTCTGGCTGCTCCTATGGCCTCATTACTTTTGATTCTCTGATCAAGGGCTGGATGGGAGTTGAGACTCAGTGGGCAGAACTCATTGGGGAGGCAGCTTGCAATTTGTCGATTTTAGCTATTTTACTTAGATTGCGCTGACTTGTTTCTATATTTATTCTAATGAATTGTTAAAGCTTAACTGCAGGAAAAAGGCTAAAAACAGATGTGTTACATACAGTCAGGTCCATAAATATTGGGACATCGACACAATTCTAACATTTTTGGCTCTATACACAACCACAATGGATTTATAATGAAACTAACAAGATGTGCTTTAACTGCAGACTGTCCGCTTTAATTTGAGGGTATTTACATCCAAATCAGGTGAACGGTGTAGGAATTACAACAGTTTGCATATGTGCCTCCCACTTGTTAAGAGACCAAAAGTAATGGGACAATTGGCTCCTCAGCTGTTCCATGGCCAGGTGTGTGTTATTCCCTCATTATCCCAATTACAATGAGCAGATAAAAGATGCAGAGTTAATTTCAAGTGTGCTATTTGCATTTGGAATCTGTTGCTGTCAACTCTCAAGATGAGATCCAAAGAGCTGTCACTATCAGTGAAGCAAGCCATCATTAGGCTGAAAAAACAAAACAAACTCATCAGAGAGATAGCAAAAACATTAGGCGTGGCCAAAACAACTGTTTGGAACATTCTTAAAAAGGAACGCACCAGTGAGCTCAGCAACACCAAAAGACCCGGAAGACCATGGAAAACAACTGTGGTGGATGACCGAAGAATTCTTTCCCTGGTGAAGAAAACACCCTTCACAACAGTTGGCCAGATCAAGAACACTCTCCAGGAGGTAGGTGTATGCGTCAAAGTCAACAATCAAGAGAAGACTTCACCAGAGTGAATACACAGGGTTCACCACAAGATGTAAACCATTGGTGAGCCTCAAAAACAGGAAGGCCAGATTAGAGTTTGCCAAACGACATTTAAAAAAGCCTTCAGTTTTGGAACAACATCCTATGGACAGATGAGACCAAGATCAACTTGTACCAGAGTGATGGGAAGAGAAGAGTATGGAGAAGGAAAGGAACTGCTCATGATCCTAAGCATACCACCTCATCAGTGAAGCATGGTGGTGGTAGTGTCATGGCGTGGGCATATATGGCTACCAATGGAACTGGTTCTCTTGTATTTATTGATGATGTGACTGCTGACAAAAGCAACAGGATGAATTCTGAAGTGTTTCGGACAATATTATCTGCTCATATTCAGCCAAATGCTTCAGAACTCATTGGACGCCGCTTCACAGTGCAGATGGACAATGACCCAAAGCATACTGCAAAAGCCATCAAAGAGTTTTTTAAGGGAAAGAAGTGGAATGTTATGCAATGGCCAAGTCAATCACCTGAACCGAATCCGATTGAGCATGCATTTCACTTGCTGAAGACAAAACTGAAGGGAAAATGCCCCAAGAACAAGCAGGAACTGAAGATAGTTGCAGTAGAGGCCTGGCAGAGCATCACCAGGGATGAAACCCAGCATCTGGTGAGATCTATGCGTTCCAGACTTCAGGCTGTTATTGACTGCAAAGGATTTGCAACCAAGTATTAAAAAGTGAAAGTTTGATTTATGATTATTATTCTGTCCCATTACTTTTGGTCCCTTAACAAGTGGGAGGCACATATGCAAACTGTTGTAATTCCTACACCGTTCACCTGATTAGGATGTAAATACCCTCAAATTAAAGCTGACAGTCTGCAGTTAAAGCACATCTTGTTCGTTTCATTTCAAATCCATTGTGGTGGTGTATAGAGCCAAAAATGTTAGAATTGTGTCGATGTCTCAATATTTATGGACCTGACTGTATATGGAGTTTATTTTACTTGTCAAATGATTTGTATTTATGTCCATCCAGTTTTGAGCTTTACACAGCGTTGCACAGCCATTGATCTCTGCTGCAAATTAAGTAACACTTAGTTTAGAATCACACATATGCGATGCAGGAAGCACATTTCCCGCACTGCAGTCGCACTGTATTTTTCCATCTGCAGCGGGTCTCAATACAAAGTTAACAACATCCCAAACACAAGTCGCAAGCACAATAACATTTGCTTGCACCCGACTGCACGGTACAAAATTACCATGCGATCTGTTTGCAGTGCAGCTAATAAAAAAAAAAAGTGCCTGCCAATTTTTGGTGCTATGCAGTACAATTTGAGCCCAATCAAAATGAATCCTGTGCAATTCAGATGCGAGCTATAGTGTGAACCAAGGCTTAAGGAATAACAGGTCTGTCTGGACAGGAAGAGGAGTGACAGCAGGCTGATTAGTTCATCTCTGCCACTCTTCACTCTCCTCCTTGTTGTAGCATTTGCCTTGTATTCAAGCACTGCAGTACGTCTTTTTGACTCCTTGTATGGCTTCTCTCCCATTCTAAGCTCTGCTGTACAGGAGATCACAAGAAGTTAATAAAATTCAGGTAATTACAGTGATAATAAATATGTATTATGCGCGTGTGAGATACCTCCATTTTACTATAATGCATGGGATCACATGTAGACTAAAGAAGAAAAAATGCTATTTGAAAATTAATATGGTGTTGCTAAGACAATCTATTTTACAATACAACCATAAGGCTCAAACATACACATATTTTATATATATATATATATATATATATATATATATATATATATATATATATATATATATAGGGGTACCTAGTTTGAGGCAAACCTGCAACTATAATTTAATCGCTTTTACAGCAATACAGGCCTTGAAACCCAGGAGGCTCGAATACGGCAACAGTAACCGATCCCTGTAGTTGTAGACTGTATTTTACCCACTACAACATCCCCATTAGACAACAAGACCACTAATCACAGAGGTAGACCAACACGGAGGCACACAACCAGAGAAGGCTACATTTATACTTGCAAATGGGCCAGAAACTGATTACATATGGGTTCCCAGCAAACAGCTGTGATAGGCAACCCCAATGAAAGCAAAGGGAGGATTCTGGCTCTTGCAGGTAACCACGGCAGCTCATATATAATCATGGAGCGATCACTGCCAGTGATCGGCCTTGGATGCCGACTGTCTGGTGTCTAGGTTTTCAGGCACTGACAGTCTACAGGAAAAAAAAAAAAAAAAAGTATCATATCTCTGGATTTCCTAAGAAGCAAATATATCTGAAAGTATGGCGGTGGAGGGTGGTGAAGTGTTATGTACATTATAAGTTCATTTACCATAATTAATCATATAAATTATTTAGTTCCTTTACCATAATTAATTATTTATAACTGCCATCCCTTAAACTGAAAGCTACATTTTTGATAAAAAAACAAATGAATAAAAATAACAAAGCTTCAAATGCTTTAAATAGGAAAAAACTCAATCTACCAGACCTTATCAGTGGTCTTCACTGGTGTATTATTGCCTACTGGAAATGAAAAAAGAATTAAAGCTACTTTTTACCTGTAGATACTGAGAAAGTTGGAACAGTTCCTGAGAGTACATACTGGGAGTGTGAGCAGCAACCTGCATGGAGAAACAAAAAAAAAAAAAAAGTGTAAAACTTCATCACTATGACAAAGGTACTTGAGCATGGAACACCAGCAAGACTTTTTTTTGTTAATGTAAAGGACTGAATGGAGAATGTCCAAGTAGAATTCAAGGTTTCATTTCACTTTAAAAATAGTTTTTGGGTCAAGATGGTCCAAGTAAACTATAGTCATTACTAAATGATGCAGCCACTGTGTGTCCTTTAGTGGTGTTTCACCAGCAGTACAGGTAATGTCCCGTCTGCTGAAAGAATTAAAGAGCCAGGTAGTCTCTGCTATTCAGGAAAAAACTGTCAGTCAGAGGAAGCCTTGTATTCGTTTACAAAAATACAAAGGTAAAGAAGTGGATGGATGACATCATGATTTCCTCCTCGGCTAACAGGGAAGTCACCCATACTGCTGCCGCAAGACAGTGTGGCTACACCATTCCATCACTAAAATGGTTTGGTTAGGCCAGCTTGGCCCAAGTGAAATGAAATCTGGAATTCTTCTTTCAGAATATCTGTCGAGTGTTTATCGAGTGCGTGTCCGCCTTACTTTCTGTTCAGTGACCACTGTGAGAGGCTGTAAAAGGGGTATCAGCATGGAAACAAGCAATAAAAACCTGACAGGTTCACTATACCCTACTTAAAACCTTTTAAGTACAGCTACAGAGAAAAGTTGTTTTTTTTTTTTTTTTTTTTTTAAGGGGATGGGTGGGTGGGGGAGTTGAGGTGAAGGGTTACAATAAGTACAAGGCCTAAAATTGAACAAAGTTTTAAATTACAACTGTACTGTGTTTACTCATGATGCGATTTCTCTTATTTAGCTTTAGCTATGTTCAGTCTGACGTAACCAGAGTGTCAATCAAAAGTCCCCTGAGGTCTGACAGTTGTGTTTTGTCAATTGCCAGAGTTTTACACATTTTCTCTTAACGCCTCTCAAGAATATATAGTACTGTTAAATAGCATTCTTCATGTTCAAGTTATTTTCCAATCACTGTTCAATTGGACGAATTCCCCTGCATATCGAAAAATAGCACCATCAGCCAAGTCAAAAGACCCAGCAGCGGGTACCAATTTAATTTTAGACAACCATGTTATTCTTTGAAGACACTACCTACCTTTAAGACTAAGCTCAACTTTTGCCTAAAATGGACTGTACAGTCAAGGTGCCCCAGTAAGTTAAAAAAAAAAAATAATAATTCTGTGTAGTTTTTTTAAAAAATTACTTGGTGGTCTCCTTACCTGTATGCCTTTTGGGGCACCTCTGAAGCCTGGCTGAAAAGCCCCCATATTGTATACATTTCCTGTCCTGCTGCTAGGACATGACATATGTTGCAACACAATCGCAAGTACTCTCCCTGGTTTAAAAGCCATACATGCACAATGCGATCTTTGCCACTCTGTTGCGGCGATGCTAATCACATTTGTCTATATATCGAACACAAAATTTAAAATGCTAACATTTCCTTCAACTAGAACAAAAAGGCGATAGAACTGAACTACAACAGTACATTTTCTAGAGCCTGACCCAAGGCATCAATGTGACCCATCTGCTGCCAGCACAAGTCAACTCTTCCCATGTAATGTTAGAGCAAAATCAACAGTGGAGGGAGGTACAGTCACTGTTTATTAGGGTTGCCGGCAGCATGAGCAATCATAGCAGCACAGAACATGTTTGGTAGGTTTAACAGAAAAAAAACCCAAGGATAATGTCACTCTGCTCACAGAACACACACACGAAGCTGAGAGAAAAAATATAGTGGTTGTTTACGGCAACAAGATGCTCTCTACACTTCACTAAAATGGTGAAATAAGGCTGACACTGGTTGCCATAGGCAACAGCTTCAGTTTACTATTCCCGGATGTATCTAGCAATTTCCCTGCACAGCATAACATTCGGTAAGCCCTTTCATCTCCACCATCTACCCTATTCCGTACAGACAGGACTCCATTGCAGAAAATGTCAGCTTACTGTAAATCCTAATACAGCCATTTTATTTCTTTTCGTGCATGTATCCTCTTAAATTTGTTTCTATTACTCAAGCCTAGGTTGAGCAGAAAACAGAGGAAGGAGCTAATGTCAAATGACATGATTCATAAAGACCGAGGGAGCATAAGAGTCCTCTAGAGATAAACAAATGCTTTCCATCTGATCTCTTCACCCAAAAAAATAGAATGTCTTACCTTGTCGACAGGACAGGGAAGTGGAGCTTGGATGACACTAGAGAAAAAAAAAAAAGGAAGGAACAAGCTTATAGTCAGAATGTAAACACAGAACACCAAGGAGCAAGAGTTCAAAAATCCTGGGTGCAAGCTCTGTAAATATTTAACTGGATTTGGTGGAGACTCACATTGATTCTGAAAGGGAGCGGCAGCATGGGAAAGAAATTAACTCTGCCTTGGACTTTTCTTTCCCCTCTACTTTATCCTAGTGTATCGCTCATAAAGCGCTGCCTGCCTGGAGCTCTAATTTACACCCGCTGCTTCTACACAGCACCATTAACTGCTTCAGTTCCTCAGCGCCCTACAAGTCATCATTCCGGGACAATAATTCTGGGGAGAGCTGAAAGGGTTAAAGGCGTAGGTCTGATTTAAAAAACGCACAACCTTTCAACAAGTTTCTTCATGCTGGACTCATAGTTCTGTGTTACGTAAAAGTATTTTAGGATATTCCAATTAGATGAAAGGTTTAAACTGATATTTGTTTTTCTTTTTAAACTTACTAATCAAGGACAAAACAATTACAGGTTTGGGTTGGAGGAAAGTACAAAAGGTAAAGGCTGTTTATTTTCTGGTTTTTGATCATGGAAATGTAATTTATGTGCAGAAAATCATTTTAGAACACAAATATTTTGCTCTTCTGTAGCATTTACATTGTTTATTAGAAAAATATTGATTACAATTTAAAGAAAAAAAAAGAATTTTATGACGTTCCATAGTTTGGTTACTCCTCAGCATTACACAGTACCATCTTATACCAGCAGGTATCTGCTTTTGATTCAAAATTAATTTCGAAAAGGCCTTGTGTCCCCAAGGTCCAGGCCGCGACATGAGTCTTTGTCACATCTACCAAAGTCAACATTAAGACCCACCTCTTGAGATTCAATTCAATGGTAACCATCACACTGCACTACCTTTTCTCAGCCAAACATCTTCCATGTAAAGCAAAGCTAAATATTTTGACCTTCTGCTACCTGCACCCCCACAAAAGCTGCTGTGTTAAGTAGAAATGGCCTAAATCTGTAGGAAAGCCAACACTTCCAGAAGTAATGATTAGATGGATCCCCCACCCCAAGCTCTTATTAAAGGGCACACTACAGTAAAGGTGGAGGTCAACAGCAAGAGCCAGTGAGAGCTTGGGGGGGGGGGGGTTTAGGGGCATCGGGTACCAAGAGATCGAAACTTCCAGAAGTGTCAGTTTGCATGCAAACTTTAGAGCACTGGTGGTCAACTTTCTTAATATCAGGGGCTTCAAGCTCAACCCTCGGAATCACCAAAGGACCACGCATAAAATCCACTGAATATTCAGTGTCAGGGACACGCAAAAGGATATAACCAAATACCATGGGCATGATACAAGAAATGGTCAGAGACTGCAGACAAGATAAGGGAGATGGTCAGAGACTGAACATGATACAAGATGGTTAGAAACTACAAGCATGATAAAAGATGCTAAGAGACTAAACAATATACAAGAGATGGCCAGAGACTGTAGGCAGGATGCAGGAGATTGTCAGAGACTTAGGACATTCTGCAGGAGACTTTCAGAAACTGTGAACATGCTATAACGGTTATCCAAGACTTTGGACACACTTCAGGACACTGTCAGACTGGAGACATAATGCATGAGACTGCTATAACATGGCAATAGGGAAACACAGATTTGTGTCTGCAGGGGCACGAGGGCCGCACAAAAAGGGTCATAAGCTACCTGTGGCGTCCTGGACCACAGGTTGGGCACCAGAGCTTTAGAGGACCAGTACTAAGGCAGGCGTGAGGAAATTTTTAAAAAAACTACTTGTCCAGGGACTACATTAGTGTCCCAATCTACTTGTCCTGATATAAAAAAAAAAAAAAATAATAATAATTCAAATTAACCAAAACAATGCCGTTAGGAACGTCTGGGGCTTTTAAAATCAAAAGGGGCTTTATGGTGACTTAAACGTGTAATAATTTTAACATTGCGCCGTTTAACTCTTCCTCCCCATTTTGCCTGTCTACAGCCTCATCCCTAGGTACTAGCAGGGAGGAGAGAGATCTTGCAGTGTAATGAGCATGGATTAGGTGCTCGTAAGGGAAGGGGAGTGTCAGGTTTATCCATTATGATGCCAGACCAATTTTTTGTTTTTGGCACACGTTTAAAAAAAAATAAATTTTTAGGCTTGAAAATTACACAAAACCCCCAAACATTATATATTTTCTGAAGGTAAAGACCCCAGAGAATAAAATCGTGGTAGTTCCAATTTTTTATGCCGCATGATATTTCCGCAAAGGTCTAGGAAATGCAAAATTTCAGTACAATTAATTTTATTCACATAAAAAGCAATAAATTACGCTGTTTTTTTTGACAAATATGAAAGATGAGGTTCCACCGAGTAAATAGATATCCAACATGCCAAACCTTAAATTTGTGTGCTCTTGTGACAAACTTCATGTAACGTGCATCGCAATCGATGTTTTCATGCATAGGTGCCCCAGCGTTTGCTTTTTTATATGCATATATGTGGGGGGTGGGGGGGGCCTCAAAAAATTTTTTGAGGGGATGTTATGTGCTTGGGTGCAACTTTGATTTTTTACTATTAAAAATTGTTGTGTTTTTTTTCTACTTTTTCATCATATAAGGGATAAAAAGTCCCCTATGTTATGATTTATTGGTGACAGGTTCTCTTTAATGAGACATGCAGGGTCTTCTCCCCTGTGCTCCCCTGAATGTAATACAGTGTACATCACACTGCATTACATCTTTTCCTGGCCTCAATGGCTGGAAATCTGTGAATGGGGACTTGGAAGTGATGCCAAACGTCCCTTCTGGATCAGGATAAGAAGGGGAAGGGAGTGGACGCGTTCGCTCTCCTCCCTCCCCTCTAGCCATCAGCGCAAACTTAGCCAGTCCTGGGCCCGCAGAGAGGAAAGCGGAGCCCAGGAGACTTGGCGAGCAGGGGGGAGGTTCACACATTGCGGGGTGTTAGCTGGCACTGTGGGCTGTGTGGAAGCAAATCGGTCAGCAGTGCTGTCGGCTGAATGCTTCCACTTGACAGCTGAGCCCTACTGCTTGCCCGCAGCAGGGCTGAAGGTTGAAAAAAAAAAAAATCAACCTGCATGATGCCCGGAACTGCATGTCCCGGGCGTTGGGGGCGATACAAATTCAACATCCCTGTAAGGAATGGAAGAGAGTTGGGTGGCACAGACAAGGGTGTGTGTGTGTGTATTTCAAGGCAAAATTCTAACAAATTGCGCTACAGTAACTGAACAGGAACACTAAAGTGAACACCAAAAGTAGAATATAAAAAGATCTACACTATATTGCCAAAGGTATTTGGACACCTGCCTTTACACGCACATGAACTTTAATACCATCCCAGTCTTAATCCGTAGGGTTCAATTTTGAATTGGTCCAACTGTTGCACTAGAACAGCTTCAACTCTTCTGGGAAGGATGTTCACGAGGTTTAGGAGTGTGTCTATGGGAATGTTTGACCATTCTTCCAGAAGCGCATTTGTGAGGTCAGGCACTGATGTCGGACAAGAAGGTCTGGCTCGCAGTCTCGGCTCTAATTCATCTCAAAGGTCTGAGGTCAGGACTCTGTGCAGGCCAGTCAAGTTCTTACACCCAAATCTTGCTCATTCATGTCTTTATGGACCTTGCTTTGTGCACTGGTGCGCAGTCATGTTGGAATAGAAAGGGGCCATCCCCAAACTGTTCGCACAAAGTTGGGAGCATGAAATTGTCCAAAATGTCTTGGTATGCTGCAGACTTAAGAGTTCCCTTCACTGGAATTAAAGGGCCATGTTCAACCCCTGAAGAATAACCACACACCATAATCCACCCTCCGCCAAAATTTACACTTGACGCAATGCAGTCAGGCAAGTATCGTTCTCCTAGCAACCGTCAAGTCCATTGGATTGCCATACAGAAGTGTGAATCGTCACTCCAGAGAACACGTCTCCACTGTCCTAGAGTCCAGTGGCAGTATGCTTTACACCGCTTTGCATCACTGCATCCAACGCTTTTCATTGCACTTGATGTAAGGCTTGGATGCAGCTGGTCGGCCAGGGAAACCCATTCCATGAAGCTCTATATGCACTGTTGCTGTGCTAATCTGAAGGCCACACGAAGTTTGGAGGTCTTTAACTATTGAATCTGCAGACCGTTGGCGACTTCTGTGCACTGTGTGCTTCAGCATGCGCTGACCCCACTCTATCATGTTATGTGGCCTACCACTTAGACTTTCTGTTACTCCCAGTTGCTTCCACTTTGTTACAATACCACTAACAGTTGACAGTGGAATATTTGGGAAGTAAATTTCACACGATCGATTTATTGCACAGGTGGCAACCTATCATGGTACCACACAAATTCACTGAGCTCCCAAGAGCAACCTATTCTTTCACAAATGTTTGTAGAAGCAGTCTGCATGTCTAGGTGCTTGATTTTATACACCTGTGGCCAAGAAGGTGATTGGAACATCTGAATCCAATGATTTGGAAGGGTGTCCCAATACTTTTGGCAATATAGTGAAAAAAAAAATTTTTTCTTCAGGCATTTACCAAAACATATTCAAACTATAGTTATATAGTGGATATGGGCTTAAAATGCACACTCAGGTTAAATTTGAGGCTTTGTACATCCAAATTGGAGGAAGGGTTTAGGAATTGCAGCTCTTAAGAGTAGCCATCCCCCTTTTTTCAAGGAACCAAAAGTAATTGGACAAATTAATATAATTATGAAAAAAATGTTCATTTTTAATATTTTGTTGAGAATCCTTTACTGGCAATGACAGCCTGAAGTCTGGAACCCAGGCACATTACCAAAGACTGGGTTTCTTCCTTTCTGATGTGTGGCCAGGCTCTAACTGTAGCTTTCCTCAGTTGTTTGTGGGTCTGTCTGCCGTTAGTTTTGCTTTCAGCAAGTGAAATGCATGCTCAATTGGGTTGAGATCAAGTGATTTATTCAGCCATTGCAGAATATTCCACTTTTCCTTGAAAAAACTCCTGGGTTGCT